CCCCCCCCCCTCCATCCTTTGATTCCACATTGCAGTTTGCAATAAATAGCACTGGCAGTCTTATATGAGCAAAACACTTTAATTCTGCTTGCTCTCCCCTAACATTTTTAGAGGAGCATATATGAGGGAACCTATGGCCCATACTATGAGTTTCATTTTTCTTCTCTTAATAATCTGGAGAGGGAACCTATTGCCCATACTATGCGTTTCATGGTTGAAAAGATTTGAACCTATGCCTCATGTTTTTCTAGGTACTATTCTTTAAATTGTAAAGAATAATAGTAAAAAAAGATATCTACACAATGGAGGTGCTATACTGCCTTGATGGAAGATGCCTGAAGATGTCAGAAACAATGCATAATCCCTATACTTTTATTGCAAGGGGTGGATGAGGATGATTGTGTAAGGAAGCCCTGTGCTTCTTGATTATTTATCTGATTTCATGATCATATCATAAGAATTATGATCCACAATTGCCTCAGAGAATACACATTTTTCTGTACATTTAAAGTGAGCTTTAGAACTAGACATCATAGTTCATGTTTTCTTTTGAATTACTGTATTTTTTAAAATGAAAGCCCATCTCATAAAGATTGTACATTAGAAGTAAAGCCAATGAATTGTCTTAGCCCTTTCTGAAAAGCTTATTGGATGTTTGCCCTCTTCATTACACATGCCTCTATATTTTTCTCCATTGATTATTCTTCGATGAAAAATTTAATGTACAATGCTTCAGAAAGAAAACAATGTTTCCACAAATCAGCCTGCTTTCATGTAAATATCAGTGTTGGACTCTAAATATTTTATCAGACATATATTATTTATTATAGTGAATGTTGCTTTTAAGTTTCATGGGCAGTGTCTGAATTAATTTGACAGTAGATTCCTCATATATAAAAAAAAAATCTAAAACAGAAAAGGGGATGCCAGGAACTGGCAATTTTAGAAGTCCTGCTTTGTGCAAATATACACTATACTTCTCCCTGATTATGAATAGCACGATATGAGAAGATGTGTTAAGTGATATTCACATCCAATAAATTGCCAATTCATATGCATATACCATGCATGGTATAAACATACAATCAGTTCTGGTTGTAAATTGTGTGTGGAAATACATTTGGTGTCTTTTTCCTTTTGCACCAGAGCTATACTTGCTGTAGCCCATGTGAACTTGAAACTGAACAGAAAGGGAGAAGTTGGAGTGCCTTATGCCTTGTTGTTTATTTCATCTTTAATCGTTCCTGAATAGTGTGTTATCTTCTGTTTTCCTCTGGTAACAATTATGGCTGCTTCATATCATGCCCCATATCATGGTTCTGTCTACATAGAGAGCCAGTAGTTGCTAGGACCCAGTCATTTTCTTTGTTTGAGTGTTACTACACTCTTTAGTGTCAACAGATGGCCACTTCACCCAACGGATCTCTTAAAATGGCAACTATT